ATGGTGAAATTGATTTCCACCTGAAGACTGCATACAAATATTATCATTCATCTTTTAGCCTCTTTATTTTAAGGTTCCAGAATTTTATTAACTATAACAAACTGCTTTGCCATACACTTTAATTGTTTTATTCTGTTCTAATAGTAGATGTAGTATGCATTTTGATTTTTATTTGCATTAAGACACATATACCCTATTGAGTCCTCTGTATTATTATTGTAATGTCTCTGCTTTGGCTATAAAGTGTGCAAGTGCAAACATATGCTAGATCTTTATATTAACCCATCATATTCACAGACTCTGCAGTTCACAACAACAAAGAATGGGGTTAACATTAACATCCTGATATTTGTCAGCTGTCCAGAACAAATATGGCTCCTTCTCAGATTCAATATCAGCACCAGCAAGGAAGCTCAGATTTTTTTAGTAGAGCACTACAAATCAGAGTGCAGAAAAAAACATGTTTTCTTTTGCTTGAAAAGCAGAAACAGACATATTCTTTCTCATAATTTGAAGAAAATACGATTTGCCATGTTTCTACAAGGCTTTTTTCCGTCTACTCAGAAATTTTGTAAGCTGTTTTGACAGGACAAATACTGCCAAATAGCAGTTGCTTAATGAATGCAAGGTGAGCTTGTCAAAGTAGCCAGATAAAGTATGAAATGACAGCAAAAATACTTGTCACCTCTTCTATTCACTCATATGGTCACTTGAAAAATGATCTAATTCAATTAATATACCTACTTTAACTCTTTAGGGTTTTATGTGTTTGTCTTACAGTTAAAAATTACTTTTTACACCTGCTAGCCATGAGGAATAACGAAGTTGAGAATAATGTGGATCCACTACATTCTCAGGTAACAAGAAGATAATTGGGAACCATCTGCAAACAACTGGAAGGGCTTTGCTGCCCAGATATGACTGATGCCATAATTTAAAACCATGAGAGTTGCAAACTTGGGATGGCAGCCAGGATTTGTTCCAAAAAACTTCTGTTAATAGAAATGGGCAGTAAGAAGGAGGAAGTGATCAAACCTCAGAAGCAGAATCCACTGAAAAACTTCCAATATTTAAATAGTAATTCTTCTGTTCAAAGCCTCATGTTGAATTAATTAACAATAGATTTAGAGTAGCCTCTAAATAAATCAGATATAATAGTAAAATTACAGAGAGACAATGCCCCATTAAGCCACTTTTTTTCTTTTTACCTTCCAGAGTGGAATGTACTTATGTAATTTAGAGAAAAAGATCCTATTATTCCTTTGTTATCCATGTGATTAAAATAGATGCCAAGGACATATGAAAAGGCAAAGTATCTGACTTAAAATGACAAAGTATAACACTGAATGTTTACCATTAAAATGCTAATTTTTAAGAGAACAAAAACAACAGAAAGCCTTTTTTAACAACAAAATTAATTTTGAGTGTTGAATGAAGATTCCTACTGGCTAAATTACTCTGTTTTTCTGCTCCATAGAAGCAGAGGTGTCACTGTTCATCCATGCTGCTATAGCTGCAGACTGGACAGAACACAATATATAATGAACAGATAGTACTGTTTCAATTTTTCTTCTCTTCATGGCATCTTCAGTGAGCTCAGCATAGCTGTGAATAACAGAGCAAAGATGGTATTTGTCAGTGTCTTGGCACTGCCTTTCATTTTTGTTGTACCTGGTCTCTCATAAGCTTTTAAAGTATTTGATTCCTGGAACCTGCTTTCTTTGACATTTCAGACTTGTTTTGTTTAGGGACTTCAGTAATTTGACCGAAAATGTTTTGGTTTGGTTTTGGTTTTGTTGGTTTTTTTTTGTTTGTTTGTTTGTTTGTTTTTTAACTCTTCTAAAATAGGAACAAAAGTTTGTATGGATGCTCCAATTTTGATTTACAGGTTGCCCTTGCTTATAAATCAGTTAAAATTAGTAAAATGGCAAGGTTCAAGCAAAATCACAATAAGCTGCTGCTCTTCAATCAAGATAAGTGAAGAGTTTTCTCTGATTTTTTTATTAAACTCTTCCCAAGCAGATACATAGACCAATGCTGAAGTTTCAAACCACTGAGAAGCTCCAAAAAGCTACCTTTTAAAGTCAAAAGTTCCACAGAAATGTTTCTTCAGGTTGCTGTAGAAATATTTCCTACTTTCTTTCCCATAAAAGCTTCCTCTCCATTTTCTCCAAATTATTTAAGCCTGCATTCCCATAAATTCAGAGACCCTGTGGCAGATTTTAAGCCTGCAATCTCAGCAGTTACAGTGCACTAGAAACAAAGGAAAACCTCTTCAAACATGATTAGAGACATGTCAGAGGGGACTGGTTTTTACAAAGCAGAGTAACCATGGTTTGAAAATTCAGACTATGAAGAATCTTACTTTGGGCATTAAAAAAAAAAATTACAAAAGCTCTAATTACTTGTAGAAGCAAAGACCAACCAGTTTCTAGTCAGTGCAGAGCAGGACATTTACAGTTCTCCAGTAAAGCAGAAAGCATTACTGAGAGACTTGGAATATGGTATCAAAGAGTTTAGGCATTATTACATATAATAGTACATTTTTAAATGATAAGGTTTGCAGGTATTTGTTTAATGTTGCTCTGAGCTACACCCCAAAGCTTTAGAGAATGGAAGAAATCAACAATGGTATTAACAACGTGTTTAACCTTTCAAAAATCTATAAACTTCAGTTTTATCTCAGAAAAGATAGAACACAGCAGAGTGAATAAAAATTAAACAGCAGTTTTCCAGGTAACCAGTGCAATCCATTAATAACTTTGCCACTTAAATGGATTTGATCCAATTACGTTGATAAAAATATTCATTACTCCCTACTTAAATGATCTTTAGAAATTTTGAATTTTTTTTACTATAATTTCTTCCTGTTATTTGAAGATGATGTAAAGTGACATCTTCCATCTTTAGTTCATTAGTGGGTTTTATGTTTTTCTATCCAAAATGTGGATTCATTTTTATTTTTTTCAAGTTTACTAATGCCAGTGATTTTGGAAGGGGCAGATTAGCATCCTAATAGGCAGGAATAAATACCGTGAAAAGTAAACCTGCCTCTGTGGCTGTTTGCTTACTCTTCCCCCTTTTTCATGTACTACTTGACTCAGACTCTACATCTCCCCTGAAGTCAACCATATGTTCACATTTCCCCAATCAAATCCCACCTTAAGAGCTACTTCTATTGCAAGAATTGAGTCACAAAAATTTCCTTTATTTAAATACCTTAGAAATACTCATTTTCCAAGAAATCATTCCATTATTTTGTGACTGAAGGAAGAGGTTTTTTTCATTCCTTCTCTGGAAACAGAAAATGTTATTATTAGTTGTTCCCGGTACTTTTATTCCAAAGACAGTTGTTACAGAAGATGACTTGGGGGGTGTTTGTTCACAAGAAGCTCAACATGACAGCAGCAAGGTGCATTCGTAGCCCAGAAATCCAACCGTGTCCTGGGCTGCATCAAGAGCAGTGTGGGCAGCAGGTCGAGGGAGGGGATTCTGCCCCTCTGCTCTGCTCTCGTGAGACCCTCCTGCAGTGCTGTGTCCAGCTGTGGGGCCCCAACACAAGAAGCACATGGACCTCCTCAGGGGGGTCCAGGGGAGGCCACAAAGATGGTCAGGGGCTGGAGCAGCTCCCCTGTGAGGACAGGCTGAGAGAGCTGGGGCTGTTCAGCCTGGAGAAGAGAAGGCTCTGGGGAGACCTTAACATTGGCCTTCCAGTGCTTAAAGGGGGCTACAGGAAAGGTGGGGAGGGACTCTTTATCAGGGAGTGCAGGGATAGAACAAGGGGTAATGGTTTTAAATTGAATGAGGGCAGACTTAGATTAGAGATAAGGAATAAATTCTTCCCTGTGAGGGTGGTGAGGCCCTGGCACAGGGTGCCCAAAGCAGCTGTGGCTGCCCCCTCCCTGGAAGGGTTCCAGGCCAGGTTGGACGGGGCTTTGAGTGACCTGGTCTGGTGGAAGGTGGCCCTGCCTGTGGCAGGGGGGGTGGAACTAGGTGATCCTGAAGGTCCCTTCTGACCCAAACCATTCTGTGAGTCTATGATTTTATGTTGAGAAGGACCACAGCTGACCCTTCTAGAACTGATGAACTGATAACTGATTCTGGCTCAGGCACTGCTGTTGACAGATCCACCAGGTGATTTTTCACACGTGTATCAGCAACTTTAATAAAAAACAGTCATTCCGAAGTCAAAAGATCAGGCTTGTTTTAGCAGTTCAAGATGGCTCGCAGATCTGTATCAAGTTTATTCATTCATTAATCTGGCGACAGTAACATAAATGCTTTGTTAATGCCAACATTTAAGATGCTTCTCCAAAGCCAGGTAGGTTGAGAATAAGAATGGAATACACTACTTTGGATCATGCTCAAAGGACAATAAAAATTTATTGCTAAAAAAAATTACAGATCTCCAAGGAGCGTTCAAGTAAGGAGCAATGTTTTTTTTTTTAATGTGAGTAACCCATTGCAGAAGCACAAGTCTGTATCAGAGGCAGACGAGCCTGCCACAGGCACCAGCTGTGAGATGGGCCCAGGTCCCAGCGCCGAAGGTGTTCAACCAACCGACTGCCAAGGTCGGGGAGGTTATTGCAAACAATCAGGTCTACGAAGGGGAACAAAAGCCAGCCAGTGCCCCTAAACACCATCCCTGGAGCAGATGCCTTGTCGGCTACAGCCCCGCGGCCAAGCGCTCGGGCGGGCTCTGCTGCTTCCACGCGAGCTGCGGGGCCGGCGACAGGGCTGAGCCGGCCGGATTGGTGCGCGCCGGCGGCTGCGAGGGGCCGGTGCAGCTGCGGCTCCCGCCCGGGGCCTGGGCCGTGACCCCGCTCCCTCCCCCGAGCCCCCTCTGCTACTTAGGGCGCGTTCGCCCTCCCGAGCACTTCGTGCCGCGCCGGCGGTGATGCCGCCCGATCCCGCCATCGCTCGCCGCTGAGAGAGGGACAGGGCAGCCCCGGGGCGGCGGGGGGTGGTTGCTACCGGCGCCGCGCCGCGGGGAGGCTGCCGGGGGCATCGCCCGGGCTCGGCTCGGCGTGGGGAGGCGACGAGGGGCGGTACCGGGCGGGCGGGGCCGGGGCCGGGGCCGGGCGGGTTGGACCGAACGGCATCGGCGGGAGAGCGGCAGAGGCACGGCGGAGGCAGCGGCGGCAGCAGCAGCAGCAATAGCAGCAGCAGCAGCAGCAGCAGCAGTAGCAGTATGGCTTCGTCGCAGGGAAAGAACGAGCTGCGGTTCGCCGACTGGATGGCAGCTCTGCCCGGCAGCATCCACCGCACCCCCCTCACCAACCTGGCCATCCCGGGTAGGGGCTCCCACCTCCCCTCCCCTCCCCGCGGGCCGCGCCGCGCCGGGGAGCGGAGCGTTTAGCGCGTTTCTCTTCCTCACGCCGGGCTGCGCGGCCGGGGCTCTCCCCTTCAGACACCGCTCCGTGCTCCCGTGGCCGCCTCAGACACGAGCGAGGGGGGCGAAGGGATGGGGGGTGTCCGGGGGGGGTGCCCGCCGGACGCGGCTCCTGCGGCCCCAAACTGTAACGAACTTGGAGGCGATGGCTGGCGGAGTGCGCGGGCTGCGGCTCCTATTTGTGCGCAAAAGTAGCGTACACCTGTACCTCTTCACTGGCCTAACAGTCCCTTTACTGGACCTCATGTGCCACCAAAATGCCGTGTGTTGCTTGTTTCCCCGTAAACTTGTGTCGCGAGGTGGGGGTCGGAGCTCGGGGAGGGGGCTGGGGAGGGATGCAGGGCAGCCGGCTGTCGTGAGGGTAGACAGATGTACCGGTGTGCGACCTCGTTTCTGGTTGCCTTCAGAAAACATGAGAAATGGTAGGTCATGGTGCTCTATGAACTCTTCCCTTCCTGTGTTCTCTCTTTTTTTTTTTTTTTTTTTTTTTTTTTTGGCAAAGTATTAACTATAACTGTAGACTTACACAAAATACATGTCAGAATACAAAACAGTGTTTGGATGATCACAGGTTTGAGGGAGCACCTCATTTTGCAAGACTTCTTTACCAGCATCCTGTCCCCTCTGAGATGTCTAACAGCAGTGAGGTTTCAGAGATGCTGAAGCTGTAACATCTCTTTAGCCTCTTATGAGAAATGCTCACTTCTTGCAAGTTTTGTGTAGCAGCTCCTCTTGTCACAGCAGTTTTTATAATACTAGTCAAAGATTTTTTTTTTTTAAGATAGTGTAATTGCAGCAGCTATTTGCTAGAATATGTTTTCTGTAGTTTCATTTAAATGCAGGTATCCCCTTTCAAAATCATGTGTGTCTGTTTCTTACAGTCTATGCAAGCTACGTGTACTGTTTTACTTGCTACGCTAGTTTTTGCTGTTGGTTGAATATATCCTGTATAAAATTGTGTCTCTCCAAGCCATAGGAATCCAGCATCTGTAACTGTTAGGTTAAACTATGTTTGAGCTGTAAAAGCTTCTGGTGTTAATAACTGTTCTTTAACCCACAAGGTGTGAAATATTCTTGCAGAATATTGACTATGATGAGAAATGAGTCTGCGATTCATTTGGCCTTGACAGCTTAAAGGTATTGTTTCAGAGACTTTCTCTTGGTTTTGAAGAGATCATGATCAAACATACTTGCTTGCAGATGCAAGAAATTGCCATTGATGTGCATCACCTTTAACTGGTTTCCTTGATGGAAGCATCATGAGGCTGTTATTGTTGCATCTATCTCACCAAGGTCTCTCAGTTACTTCATCATAGTCTCTTTCTGAAATATAGGACAGTTTTTCACAGTGGACCTGTTTCAGTGCTTTGGCAGTAATAATATAGGCTTTCACACTTTGTTAACATGTTTAAATTTAAAAAAAAAAAAAAAAGCCTACTGTGGGTTGTAAATGCCAGTTAATCCCAGTACAGCATTAAGCAGTGGGCAAGTTCTGCAGCCTGTAAGTACAGAGATTGACCCCTTACATCGGCAGAAGGGCTTTGTTCATGTAACAGCCATGCACACAGTCTTGCTTTTTGTGAAATTAACAGCAAAACTTCTATGACTTGAATGGCATAGGGTTAAGAGCTTTGAAACTTGCCCTCCTGTTACTCTGAATTGACACAAACCTTATTTATCTGTCTATCTCACTTTTAAAATGCCAGCTTTGGCAGACAGACCTTTTTTGGGAGGGAGGCAATATATTTCATATGAATTTGTCAATTAGGGAGCCTGGCACACAGGCTGTAGGTATCAGTGCAGTTTAAATATTATCTTCTAACTGTAGATTTATTATTACATTCAACATACGTTGTGGAAATACACAATATTAGTACAGAAGCAAACATGGAATTAGTTTCATCCTTTAAGAAGAAATAACCTTTGAGACATTCATAATGTTTACTTGAAAACAATTCTACGTGTGTGTAATAGCTATTAACATGTAACTTCTATTCAAGTAATTAATGCAAGGAATATGTAGAATCCAGAACCTCATATGTCAAATCTTCATAGTTTTAATTAGTGGATTCTTAACTGTTTTGGAAACTAACATTTAATCATTTAATTACTAATGTATTTTGTTTACATTGGGGTTTTTTCTGTGCCAAAAGTTAACAGTACTTTCCCCCCCCCCCCCCCCCCCCCATCAAGATGTTAACTTCCCTTGCGCAGCAGGAATACTGATTTTGACCTTAATTCATCTGAATAGAATTCAGTTCTGGAGCCAGAGTAACAGTCCAGTGCTAATGTTGAAGAAAACTATTAGCTTCAAAATGTTAGAATGAATTTTCCCAATGAATGTATCATCTCTTATCCAATACAGAGGATGTGCCACTATATTAGGGGAAAAATGTTGTTGTATTAGAAATCATCAGTACAGTTCTCATTGTTTAGAAGGAGTGCTTGGAACTGAGATCATACACTGTGTTGTTTTTGCACAGACACGCATGCATTATTTTAACTGTTGCAAATAGAAGCAAAACCCCATAGTATTCTGTCATGATCGTATTTAAACAATATTGTTGAAGGTATATTATGTTCATACTATGTTTAAAAACATGATCGATTACACATTTTTCCTTTTTTTTTTTTTAATTGCCCATTTGTTAAGTTTATGCAGGCACAAATTTGTACTATTTATCACCACTTATGTTTCCATAGTCAATGCTGAAATTTGTGAGTGTTCCAGTAAATTATTTACTCATTTCTCTGCAGTTCAAACCAGGTACTATTGTTTTACTAAGACCAGGAATCCAGTAGATGAAGCAGAGATCTCTAATATAACTTACGGCAGCTTTGTCAGAAACTTTTCCATTTGGATTTCTTCCAAATACAGGGATAATGCCTTGTACCATGATGTTTTCTTCTTTCCTTGTGCTATGTCCATGTTCCCTTGCACTGCAAATGGCAGATTCTCCTCAAGTGAAGGATGCCATTAGCAAATAATTGTGTATGCTGCTTGGAAATAAAATAATCTTTTCACTTCCAGAAAATACCATGCGTATTTAGTCTTCTATTGCCATGATAATTACAATGATGAAAGGATATATTCTTAGGATTGCAGCCCAAGGTGTATGTCTCCTAGTGTTTGTAAACTGCTTTTTATGTTGAAAGATCTGCCTGGCTAAACTCACAGCAGTCTGGAAAAGAAAAAGGTGGAGGATTTTGAATTATTTTTGTTGTTGTTGTTTGGGGGGGGTAGAGGGGATGTCTTTTGGTAGGTGGTAAAGTGTAGTTTTGTTTGAAGCCTGTATCTCTTTGACCAGGATAAGAAATAGTTTTTCATATATAATTATGTTTATAGAACTAAAATCTTTGTGCCCCCAAGTCAAGGCTAGAAGGTGAGGTATAGAGAGCCTATGTATTCTGCTGTATTAATGCCCTCCTCTTAATCCAGGTTGAGCATATGAGCAATGCAGTAAAGTAGACAACAGTAGGCAGCATTTCCTTATGAATTAAGCCATTTACTGATCAGTTAACTTCTTGTTGACAATCTGCAAGTATGTATCTAGTTTTACATCAGAGTTTTTGTACAAGTAATAATGTGTAATACATATTGCCTTTTGCCCTGGTGCTAATATTCCAAGCAGCTGAGAAGACTGTAAGAATAATTTATGATGGAAAAAAGTGTTTTCTTCCCCAAGTAATTAATCCCTTCACCAAAATCAGTGCTAGCCTAAGATCTGCCATATGAGCAATACTGATGTGTGTTACGGACATGTCTGTCCTTCATATAGTGTAGATAAAAATCTTCTGAATGAATTTAAGACTCCAAATATCTCTTGCGTGCATAATTTTGAGAGTTGGGACTCTTCTGGCTTTAGTTTCATAGGAGAGTTTTCTACTTTCGTTGAGCACATGAAACTTTTGGCCTCAGCATTTGCTCTTGTTGCTGGAAGATTCACTGTGAGCAATACAGATCTTAGTGAAAATTATTTTCACAGTGATACCAGTTTGGCAGCTATGTTTGCTTAATGTTCCCTAAGAGGAATGCACAGGACCTGACTGGCTTCTTTTGTTTCTTGGATGAGGTTTTACCTTTTTTTTTTTTTTTTTTTTTTTTTTTTTTTTTTTGTATTTTGACCTTCTTTGTCCATCAGCCAGAAAGCAATTACTGGACACAGCAGAGCTAAAGTTGGCTCATTTTAAATAAGAAACTGTTGGCAGGTGGAATTTTTTTATGCTGCCCATCTTTAGAAAGAGGCTCTGAGAGTTGAAATTTGTATTTTCTGCTATCCCACCATCATCATGCTTTGAATAGAAAGAGCAAGGCTTCACAGAGAATTAGTTTGCAAAAAGAGAGGATGTGTGTTAGTGTCAAAGACTTATTAAGAGATGGTAGATGATATGGGGATACTTGGGAAAAGCACGCATGTTACTGTAGCTGGAATATTTTAGCCATTTTGTGAATGGAAGCACTACTGAGGTAACATAACAGTTCTGTTTCAAATATTTTAAAATTCCTGTCTTCTGTTGCAATACCTTGCAAATGTTGAAGTGATTACTTCTTAGGCAGACACTTCTCATCCCCAGCACCATGGGGAAATTATTTAATCTTAAAAATGGCTAGAAATACTTCCTTGTTGGTTACAGATACACAACACTCACTGTTTAAATGTTATTAGGGAGCTCTTTAATTTTGAGCTTGAATAGCTGATAAATTGGATGTTCTTACAGTGACGAGTGGTTGTCTTTGGGAAACACATGGGACCTGTTTCATCCTTGTCTGTCCACTAGTGGTCAATAGTGTTCCTCCGCTTTGCTTGCCAGGGTCTGATTCTGTACAAAATTAGCTCCACCTAGAACCATAAATCGATGATTCAGGTGTAAACTTATATATAAACCTACAATTCAGGTTGT